GACCGATGCCCAGCCAGTCCCCGAGCAGCGGCCCCCCCGGCCAGCTTTCCCCCAGTTTATGTACTGAGCATGATGTCCCATGGTATGGAATATTCCTTTGGCCAGTTTGGGTCAGCTGTCCTGGCTGTGCCCCCTCCCAGCTTCTTGTGCACCTCCAGCCTTCTCAGTCAGTAGAGCATGGGAAGCTGAAAAGTCCTTGACTAGTGTAAGCACTGCTTAGCAACAACTAAAACATCGGTGTGTTATCAACATTATTCTCATACTAAATCCAAAACACAGCAGTATACCAGCTACTAGGAAGAAAATTAACTCTATCCCAGCCGAAACCAGGACAAGCTCGGATGATAGTCACTTTTATAGGCAGCCGCAGATAAATCTAACACTACAGTGGGGTGGTTTGGAACATCTACAAAAGAACTAATATCGTGAAAGAGGGATGATGCATCCTAGAGGACACACCGGTCAAAGAGCCAGAGCTATTTTAAACAACAAGGAAAGGTGAAGATTTATGTCTGCTGAAAAGCAGGCTTACTGTCAACCTGTGGGGTGCACATCTCATGGCCTATGGGGATTTAAACCCTAATTACTTTTTAAAAGGATATCAGACCAATTTCAGTGAAGGCAGTGGTCATTGTTCTGCCTTCATAGTGAAATGCCTGCCCAGGAAAGAAGTTATCATATGTGTTATTCTTTGCTGCACACACATAGCACCTTCACAGAGGTAAATATGGCATGTTTGACGGAAGCATAAAAGGTCTTCTGAAGTTTGGCATAACCTCCAAAAATAATAGCACTTAATTTAGGTGGTAATACTTGCTCCCCCTATGTTTACAACCATTTATTGATTTGAAGAATGCAGACATTCAGTTTGGCCAGAAAAAGTTCTTGAGTTTTGCTATGGGTACACAGTTGTGGCGTTTCGGAATTTACTCCATCACCAAGAATGTCTGTAAAATATCTAGCTGAAATAGTAGCTCAGGTACGAAGACTGAACACTAGTTATCACTGGAGGAGCAACTACTTAATCAGAAGCAGAATCTAGGAGAAAATGGTAATAAATTTAAAATAAACTTCTTTCAGTCTTGAATGGCTGCACTAAAAACCATCTCCGATGTCAGTGCAAGTGATGGTAGTTATAAGAATTACAGCTGATGCTAGATCAGCAAAGATGGCCTTCCTTCAGGTTGTGTCAATAGCTGCTTTAGCTTAAAATCAAAGTTGGTAGAAATGGAAGAGCATTTTAAGGTATTTGGTCATGTGTAGGTTTTTATGTATGTGATCACTCACATGCAGCACCAAGAATTGTGCAGTAGCGTAAAACAGTGCGTGAACATGCAAGTCCTTGATGACATGTCTCATTTCATAGCATTAAAATGTTCCATGAATTTGAGAGCCGCTCTTGATTCCTTTCCTAAATAAAGATGCCACAAACTTGTTAGGGACTACAGATTGACAAAAACGATCAATTAGTTGCTAGGCAGCAACCACAGCCGTCCAGTTTTGGGCATGGATTATAATTTGCACTTTCCAAGAGTTGGCAACAAGCTGTGAGACTTCTGAGCAGATACTGCATAATCATAAGCAATTATAAGCAGTTATTGCAAAGGTTGTTGACAGGGCTAGTACTCAGTTAACAGAAAACTCTCATGATACGATATTCATCAAGTCTTGGATTTCTAATACTGACTCTGCCTTATGCCTTTTCTGAAGTGAAATCAGAGCCTCCTGTATGTTTTTGTGTTGATTTCCCTAATCCTATGGGATTCTATCAAAAGTCACTCTTGTTTACTGAGAAAATTTTGGGTTACAGATTGCTACAGAGGCCCGTTCAGTTGCCTCTGCAGCTATCTAGCTGAGATTTTGCCATGTCACTATCAGATGATCATCACTAGCCAGGCCCAAAATTATTGCATCTAGCATGGAAGATGTTAGCTGGGCAAGTGCCATGGGCAAGGATGGTTTCAGAAAAGTCGAGGAGATTCTCGGATAGAGTGGGAAACGCCTTATAGGCAGCCTTCCTCATCAAAAGGAGAAAGACTTTAGAAAAGAGCAGCCTAGTATTACCAGGACTTAAAGCATGGACTCATTGACTCACTGTAAATCTACAACGTAGTTTATCTCTTGGCAACTTGTTTGACATTACAAACATAAGATGTGCGTTTTCTATGCCTTGCTGTTTGTCTGACACTAATAAGATTTGGCCCCACCACAGAAAACTGTATTTACAATCTTTGCTTATTTGAGGAATTTGCCGAATTCTGATGCCAGATTCTTCAGGTTGTTATGTTTGGAATAACTTAACTGAACACCAAAGGCAGGAGTAAGACCAAAGAGAGCCTGAATTGATGCAAGCGGTAACACTGTCCTTAACATTTGACTTAGCTCATGTTTTTTCATGTTCCCTCCAAAAGGGTGTGAATGTTGCTTGCCATTCTTCTTCCATGAACTTGTTCTTCTGTGCACGCATTCTTGAAAAGAGAAGGATTGCATATATTTTATTTTCCTTTTGTCAGTGTTGACAGTAAGAATTTGCTCTCTGAGTCAGGTTACTCAATGTTTCAAATTGTGGCAGACTTGGAGGCATTGCATCTTCTCTTACACTTGCTGTGGAAAAAGAAGGTCATGCAGGGGCCAGATGTCCTGATTCATGTTGCTGTTTTCTCAGAATTGAAGACAGCACCCATGATTTTGCTTTTGCCTTTACAGTGAGATCCACACCAACTATATATTAAGAAAGCATGCTTAATTTTTTCCAGCCTTACCAGCTAGTCCAGTAAAAAAGTCCACCTTTGTCAGAAAATCTTGCCTTGCTTGCATTTTAAGAAACTTGGTTTCTTAGATAAGAAACTACTCTTAAGTCGCTTATTTTCCAAATGCAAGTAGTAGTGCATGATTTATTTATTTGTTTTAAATTTAGGGGTTGTATATTCCACTCATATCTACCTCTGTGGGAAACAGATTTAGCCATGGAAGTAGATACTGTATTATTTTTGCAGTTGGAATATGCCTTGAACGTAACTTGCCTGCCTTTGAAGAACTGATAAGCAAAACTAGTCTGCATCCTGAAGGGTTTCAAACTCTGTTAAGGATCCAGTTGTTAGCTGCTCAGCTGGATGATTCCAGCTTTTAGAGTTAACCCTTTCACTCTTGCCCTGTAGTTTATATCTATTATATTTTCGCTATCTTGAGAAATTTTGTATATTTGCAAAATAGCATACATTTAACTATTTTGAAGCTCTTATATCATTCTTTGCTGCAGTATGACCTGATGGGAAACTCAGCTACTGAACTGAAGGGGTTGGTTACTAGAATTGTAAAGCCTAGAGAGTTCATAAGCAGTCTCGTATGACGTTGCAGCTCATCCCCAGAGAAGCAGTATGCTTTGTTTATCTTTGCTCTGTTTGTTAGGTGCTGCTTCTCTTTGGAAGTATTAATTTCAGACTACCACCATCTTTTTTTAACTTGTTGTTTCCTGGCTGTCTTCATCCTTCAGGGAAAGACTCTCGTCTCCTTGTCTTCAGACTCAGTGCTGTCCAAAAAGATATAGAAACAAAGCAAATGATAAGAAGCAAATACGACTGCAGAGAAAATAAACTGGAGAGAACAAAAGGTGATTTTATTATCCTGTGTTAAAAACATCCACTGTGGTATGATGCCTGTAGTTACCAGGGACTTGTTAGCTCCCTCGAGGCAGTTGTAGGTGTTCACCTTTATTTTTTTCTCTGGACAGTCAATTCAACCTTTGTTACGCTTATATGTGAAAATAAGTCTGGTATAGTCCAGCATGACATTTTAGAACTTTGTTACTTGGCAATCACTGCTGATGAAAAGCTCTAGAGAAAAATAAATATGTTGCTTTCAGGATTGAGGGGTATAAGAAGAATTATGCAGGGATGTGAGACTGAAATAAAGGACATTTTAAGGTGACGGAACACTGGCAAATCTCCATTAAATAGTAGTGCTTAGATTAGTTTGGGCGTTGCCAATTATTTTAGTAGACATAAACATTTTCTGGTCTTCAGAAGCAAGCTGCTTTGGAAAGCAGCAGAATAGTGAAAATCCATGTGTTTAGTCTTCACTTGCAAAAGGAGTAAGGGGAAAATAGATTTCGAAAGAGTCATAGCCTTTTGTCTTTTTCTAGAAGTTAATGTTATCCTATTGGGAGGTTTGTAATTCTGTGTTGCCAAGTCATGCATCAGAGCCCCGTTGTACTAATCAGAACAAAAAAAGCAGACCCTACCCCAAACGCTTACAATATAGAGCATTATTTCCTCAGGCTGCCATTTGTATGCCATTAATACTCACCATGGCAGTGAACTGAGGATTGTTGTGGCTATTCGGAACAAACTACTTCTCGTCACAAAGAAATATAATCCACGCAACAGTTTAACCAGCAGCTCTCTGCTATCGTCATCTGAATCTCCAGTAGAGGAGTTCCAGTATATCCGGGTATGTGTAATCTAATCGCTAATTACCTTAACAGACTGGGCAGCACTCAGCTAGTGGGGGGGGAAGGCAAAGAGCATGCATTTTTATCTTCCTGAACCTCCAGACAAATAAAAGTGAGAAGCCATATGATGGTGTTCCATCATATATATGCCAAAGAAATCTTTCAGATTTTTTTAATTAAGTTTCTGCTTGTTCTTTATCATGTTTCTGTGCTTAGAGCATATCCCTTTAAATTCATGGAGTACCTGCAGCACCCACAGTAGGAGCTTGAAAAAGAGAATAATTCTTTTATTTACATTATAGGAAATATGCCTCTCTGACCCTCCAGTGATTATGACGCTGGTGGATGGACCTACTGGAGACAGTGACAATATGATCTGTGTAGCGTATCGGCATCAGTTTGATTTAGTTAATGAGAGTACTGGGGAGTCCTATAGATTGCATCATGTTGAAACAAACAAGGTAAGTTTTCATCATTGAAACTATTTTCTTGCAGAACCACAATGAATGTAATTTCTTGCAGACTCAGTGCATCCTGTGCTGACCTCCTGGGAGTGTAATTTATGGAGATCCTCATGTCTCTTCATTTCTATAACCTCTGCTTTAGGACACTCTGAGATATTTGTTCCCTTTGGGATATGTGATAATAATCACTCCCAAGAGAGGCAGTTATAAGGTATGACACGTTAGGAAAGAGCCTGTGTTTCAGGATCTGGAATATCGCTGTCAGCATAAATTCATTTTTCTCCTTTCTTAGTCAATAGTTTGTTTTTTGCTTTTTCTTTGTGGTCTCAGTGTTTTATTGTTTAAGAAATTGCAGCAAAATAACTTCCGTTGTTGGCCACCAGTATCTCATTCAGATTTGCCTACTTGCATGTACTAAGGCTAAAATATTTGCACATAGCTTATAGTTCTATTTAAGAAACTGTTGCCCAGTCAACTAGTAAATTAACTGAATCTTTCTAACTAGGACATAGGGTTGGAATTTAAGCAAATGTCCTGATTTTCAGAAAAGAGTATTTCCAGTATTTCCTGCTGCTGGGAAGATAATGATCTTCAGCATCTCTGAAAATCAGATAATTGTTTCTAAATATGGATGTGGACATAGAGCTTTAGATAAAAAAATGGAAGATTTTGCACAGTTAATCTTTTGTTCTTGTTGTTGTTAACTGACTCCCTTCCTCATAGTGAGATAAGGGACTGCTCTTTTCATTTGATGGTTCTTGTTGATAGGTTATTTTCTTTTTAAATCATCTGTATTTTTATTCAGATCTGATGAATCTGAGGTTTGGTACTCCTAGCCTGGGTGATACAGTGTAAGCTTCTTCACAGCACTGGAAATCTGTCTTAATCTGGATGAGAAGGAACTACAAGTAAAGAATGGGGATGGAGAAGTACACCACCATCCCACCCCACCCCCGTTCCTTTTCTCCCCAGGAATCCTTATTTCCTTTGAGAACACAAATAAAGCAGACAATATGAGCTGAGCCAGTGACTTTTGTGATGTTGAAATGGGACACCAAATTATTTCCACGGGTAACAGAGCAGAAATGGCTTTCAGTCACTACAAAGGATGGGTCCAAATGTGTTTGGTATAGATATATAAACTTCCAGGTCTGTTTAACAGTTCTTGACCTATACAGTAATCTTAAATCAAGAGGTGAACATCTAGCTTATTGTACAAAGGAAAGTCAAAGAACTGCTTTTCATGGAATGTGTCTCCAACCCCTCTCCCTGCCCAAGTAGTAAACGTTGTGGTCTGGGAAGCATTTGTCTAATGTTATCTTATATATTTCACTAATAAGGTTTCATTTCCTGAACAGATAACCTACTTTTTATGGTTAGTTTGGGTTTTTTAATCTAACTGTAAAAGACAAATACAGAGTTGAAATATGAGAATTTATGTAGCCTATGCTATGTAAAAAATACTGTGGTTTATCCAGCACTGGTTCTCAGTTTCTAAATTCAGTAATCCTTAAGTACATCCCAGTCGACCTCTGTAAGTGTTAGTGGTTTTGAACCAGTAATTGGTGCATCTGATCTTTTTGCTAGTTATGATGTGCAATGGAGCTTTTTGGATTTCACTTTTTGAAAAGAATTGTTATTTTTAGCATATCATGTTGATTCACAGCTGTCCTGAAATCACCCCATTTCCCAAAATTTGTATTGCCAAATGAGTTATGTAAGTTTTTATTGCTTTATACTGTGGGCGTGGTATTGAATATTCAGTACTGTACAGAACAAAGAAATTGATTTCCATCCTGAGAGCATCCTGAAAATGATTCACAAAAGAGGCTGCCTTTGAAAAATTAATACTTTTTTTTTTTCTTTTTTGCTTTTATCTGTAGTTGTGCACTCCCCCAACTGATTGTATGGCTTGTTAGTCAAAACCTGGTTGTAATAACCTCAGTATCCTCTGCCTGTTCATTACCATTTCCCATTATCATTGCAGGTTAATTTTGTTGCAGCTATTGATGTATATGAAGATGGTGAAGCTGGTCTACTGTTGTGTTATAACTGTAAGTGTTTAGGGAAGACCGAAAACGGTAATACCTCAATCTGCATATGTAATTCTTTTTTCATTGGAGTCTAGATCTGTATTTTAAAATAAATTTCAGTGTTTCATGGAAAGTTTGTCAATATACGTTCTTTTGAATTTAAATGCGTATTAGAGAGACTAGAAATTGAAGTAGTATTTTATTGCAGGGCATGTTGAATTTAGTCGTACTAGCTGTTAGGTTTTAATTTCAGGTATATGGATGTGTATCTATATATTTATAGATGTTACCACCTTACTCACAAAAGTCCTATTTCTTCAGATCTAGCTCATTCTTTAGGTAGTTACACACTTACTAGGAGTTTTCAAGACATGTACAATTTAGCATTCCACCCCTTTTTCCTCTGTGTGCTGTCCCATTCTGTCTTTGTGCTTTTTCTTCCGCCTACTTCTTGGCACTGTTTCATTATTTCATTGTAATTCTCTCAATCTCCTTTTATGAAATGGCCTTGGATATAACACACATATGTTCTTCTCTGCGGTACACAGGTACTTTTTCTTCCGATCCTCATGAAAACAGAAGCTCTTAGCATGAAGCAGCCTTTATGAGGCTGTGCTGAAGGACAAGGCAAGGCTTTCTCTGTTGCAGAAGGCGTGTCCTATTTGCCTCTCCAAAGTGATCATTGATGGAGACAGGATAAATACACCTGTGTTCCAGCACTGTCTATCAGATTGGTACCACGGAGCAAGTTTTAAGTGTCTCTAAACTATATCTTTCTACGCTCTGTGAGGCCTTACTGGTTCTGGTAGCTTGCCAGATCCTACCTGGTTCTGGTTCACTTAACACTGCTTCAGAACTAAAAAGCTGTCTGACAGAGCATAGTGAATTCCCACCTATATTTCTGCAAGGAATCAGTTCCCCTCTAGTAGACCCATCGCTGAGCCAAAGCTAACAAACTTAGCTAATCTTGAAAGTTACAATAAAGGTGCTGCACAGGCTTGCAGCAACTTGAATTCCTATTTCTAGGACAGCGTCACAGGGAAACCTGCATTTGTTCTTTAGAGAGTTTTATAATTCTGAAAGTATCGTCATAGAACAAACGTGAAAACACAGGATTTGGCAGTGTCCTAAGTTTGTATTTAGAAGACGACTTGCAATACATTTCTGGATATAAACTTTGATTCAGTCTAAGGACATGAATTACAGGAAAAAAATAGAATTTTGCCTAAAAAAATAGGAAAAGAGCTGGAAGCAGCACGTATTTGAGAGGGTCATAGATGTTTACCTGGAGCCCCCAGTGCACTCATATGAGCTTGTGAAGAAAAAATTGCAATTGCATCTCGTCTTTAAGCTTTCTTATTGTTTGCTGATACGACTTCTCAAATCCTGAACTTCAGTAGATGTTTGATCAGCACTAGTGCATGTGTTTAAAGAAAAATCTGTTGGTAGTAGAAGGTTAAGTTCCCCGTTACCTAGGTCTATCAAATTAAAAATTCAGAACTGCATTGCCAGTAAGAAGCTGTATAAGCCAGCATTCGTGTCTGACTCGTAGAAAAGACTGTTAATTTCAGAATCAGTGGACGTACAGCAGCTAAGAAGTAGGTTCACAAGTTACATGATTAATGAAATCTTGTTGTCTGTAGTATCCCCTGTGTGTAACAGTCTTCAAAGAACACAAACTGTGCTAGCATATGGCTGCTTGAAGGGCAGAGAGGTACAGTTCTGCTGACACTGCTTTCTGAATTTTTCTTGCCTATTCCTCTATCCATAGACAAGGTAAGGAACTGACAACTGTTGAAACAGAGTAATACTTACTTTGTGAAATATGACAACTTACTAAAATGTAGGTCTTCTATTTTGATCTTTCAAATGCTGTGTTCACAGAAGCAGCACATTTCCCTTATCTGTTTAGATGTAGAGGGACTTCTACATAAATGTTTGATTATGTATATAATGCCCACACTTCTGCAAAATCTGCCTATAAAGTTGGTGTTTGTCACTTGCAGTGTAAGGTGATGGATGCTTCTTTTTTGTTATAGATGTTTGCCAATACAGAAAGGTATATCCTTTCAATGGAAGTTCTCCGCTGATCCAGCCATCAGCTTATGACTTCCACTTCAGCTGGAATCAAGTTCCTTATGCTGTTGGTAAGAAAATATCTCTCTTTACTAAATGACTGTTTTTTTCATTACCGTTTAGGCTTGCACTTGGCTGTTAGTGGAATTGCAGTATGTGTGCTAGGAATAAGCATGTTACATTCATGATGCCACTTCAGCTAGGTTTCTGCATATGATAATTTTAAAAAGTGGAGCCTTGGTGGCAAGTTCTTCCTTTGCTGAACTTTTTTTCCTTTCTCTTTTTTTCTGTTTTTCATTTTGCATTCAGTCTACGTTCTGCCAGGCATGGAGAGTGAAGTTTTCTTCAGACTTGCTGTAGCTCAATGTCCATCAGTATGTTAGACAACCCTTTTCATAGGAAAGGGAGATGCCAGAAGAGGTCAGATACTCAAGAACAGTTTTCATGGAGCATCCAAGAAACATTTACATTAACCATTTTTCCTTGCCAAATATTTTTTGTTTCATTGCAGTCTGTGCTTTCCCTTATATCCTTGCCTTCACTACTGATTCCATTGAGATCCGATTAGTGGTGAATGGGAACTTAGTCCACACAGCAGTTGTGCCTGAGCTTCAACTTGTAGCATCAAGGGTAAGACACGGGAAAATCATGTTTGACTATTTCTGTGATATGTTGGGATCTAATTCACATAAAAAGTTGCTGCAGCCAAAAACCAAACAAAAACTGAAACATGTGCTACTTGATCTGTGGTAACTGTTCATCTGTGTGCTCTTAGTTTATATCAGGTACAAAGAGAATCAGAATTGATCTCACTGTAATGCAGATCTGAGATATTTGACTTTATGGGGCAAATGCTATCCTCAACATCACAGAAGTTCCCTCCACTTATAGTGGGATAACCTTTCCATGACCAACTCTAGTTGCCTTAGCGGCAATACAGCAATAGTGGCAATAGAATGTAGTGGACAAACATTTGAGCTCTTACTCAGAAGACGGTTAAGAAAGCCTCGTTGTATTAATGATGAGTTATTTGTCATTTCAGTCAGATATTTATTTTAAAGCTACTACTGCAGTAAGTGGATCATCTGACAGCAGCTCTAAGGAAATGAGTTCAAGTTCCCCTCAAACACCGACAGCTTATGAAATGCCAGAACGTCCTCTTTCTTCTCTAGAAGGTAACATGGTTTCCAGGCAGCTTGAATAACGATCTCTGATCATTCCAACAGCTATCACATCTCAGTGCAGCTGATCTTTAGTAAGATGAAATTGATCAGGTAAAAGATTTTGAGTTCCTAGCTGGGAGTCTGGAAGATAGAGATTTTCTGTTCATCCACAGATACGAAGCACCTGGCTGAGTTTTTGTCCCATAGTATCTCTTCTGAATGCATGGTAGCACTGTTTTGAAGAAATCATTTCTGTAGGAGGGGAGGAATTAAGCTTCAGTAGCTTGATGAATGTTTGGCAATATGGCCAAGACTAATAATGCAAAAGGAGTTATAAAATGTTGGGAAAACTTGAGATTTCACATATGCCATTCCTTTCATTTAGGAAAAGCTAAACTACCACTGGGTGGTTAAAGCTGTTTTGCGAAACAAAAGTAAGAAGTTCTGGCCTCGAAAGAGTTGCACAGTCAATTTAGTGTAACATGATCTGTGAAAAAATCAGTCTATAGGGGAACAATAATGGAGAAACAAGGGAATGCCAACTAGGTAATGCAAGATGTATATCCTTACTTAAATCTGCTGCTGCACTGTTGGCAGAAGGGGAAAGGAGAAAGGAATCACAATTTCAGTTTTTAAAAGGCAGTGTTATTTGATGGTAAGTTGGCTTCTTTTTTTCCTAGGAATTAGGAAAATGTGTGGTATTTTATGTCACCTAAGAAGAGGAGCCATGATTTAAACCACTTGGGATCCAGGCTCCAATATACTTGCAAAATATTAAAATACATGGGGAATATTGCACAGAGTGCAGAGTCATGGTGTAATAGTCAGAATACCGGCCTCAGGACATTTAAATTTATTTCTTGGTTCCACTGCTGATTCATCACATTGCCAATAGTCAATCTTCTTTTTCTCTCTAAGTCAAATTGCACGTCTGCACAACGTGGTTGTATTTATTCCTCCTCCTAGCCTATTTATATTGAAAGATCTTGGGGGCAAGAAAGATCTTTGTTATTTGGGTTAAAAAGCACCCAGCACAACGAGTATAACTTTTCTGTGTAACTTTTCGTTTGGAAGTATTAAGAACTGATTCTATTGTGAAAGTGTAACATTCTTTTTTCCTTCTGTGTTTCAGGTGAAGTTCTGTGCAAAAACCTGTACAAAATTCCTCTCAGTAATCTGGTTGGGCGAAGCATTGAACGACCTCTGAAGTCACCTTTGGCTCCCAAGGTCATCACTACTACAACATCCAGTGGCATTGCCTCTCTTCCAGTTACTCACTCGCTATCCTTATCTCGTATGGAAATTAAAGAAATTGCAAGCAGAACACGTAAAGAATTGTTGGGTAAACTCTCCTCATTCTTCAGTGTACATATCAATTGCCAAGTGTATAATTTCTAATCTTTGGGCCATCACACTCAGATTTGTAACATGCAACCAGTATTCATAAATAAGTAGCATAAACAAACAAATGAAACTGTGAGAAAACATTATTTGCAAATAGTCGAGCCAGTGTCTGATCACATGTAAGGTGACCATATTCTAAGCTAGGTAGAACCTATATAGTTAATAATGGAAACCAGCAACAGATACCTTAACGTTTTCATGAATGCTTTATTTTTTGTTGAAAGTATTAAGTCTTTTATTCCTTTATTGAGGCCTCTTGGATGAGCCTATACCCAAGACAGAAAGTGCACAGAAGCAAAAAAAGGTTCCTCGAAGACAGTCAGACCCCAAGCAGGGAGCAGTAAGATCAACTAGTAGTGACAGGTAAATATACTCGCTTTAGAAAAGAACCTAAGTTAGACTGTAAATGTTTTCAGAATTGATTGTTTTTCAACCTGTTCATGCTTACCTCAGTTGGCATGGGGCTGACTGAGACCTTTGTATACCAATGTGAATTTCATGCTAATGTGTTTGTTAGAGTATCTGAATACTGTAAGTACTGAAACAATTATACTTTTTGCTAAAGACATGTTAATGAGCAAAACAAGACTAAATGGGATTTTGTGGGGACCTGCTGCAGTTGAGCCTGTCATTAGGATTTGGACGACTAGATCTGCACTGTGCAGGCTCACTTGCTGTTTTCTTCATATGCTCTTGTGTTGGTATTTCCAGAATAAATTTTGCGAAGAAACACCATAGCGTTTGTCTGTTTGGCTCGGCTTACCTGACCCCACTGCCATTCTCTTGTTTTCACTGTTTTCATAACCTGTGTTTGTGTAAAGTAGTGTCAGAATTCAGCCAAGATACAGTAGACTGAGATTAACAAAGCAAACAAAAAATCTGCTGCAATGTAAAACCATATTTGATTTATTTCACTATTTGGAAATTATTTGGGCGGGGGGCTTCATTAATATTGCCTTTTGATGATTTTTCAGTAGAGTAAAGCAGAAATTCAGTTTTAATGGTCTGTCTCTGTCTTTAGTATTAACTTGATTGAATCTAGAAATAGCCATTGATCCTTCTTGCCCTGATCTGTGTATTTTTTTCGTAACTTTTGTCTTCCTCTTTGCAGGATAATCTCAAGCTCTTTTGAAAGCTATTCTGAAGGATGTCATCTTTCCACTAGTTCAGATCCCGATACTTTAGCAAACAGGGAGGAGAGCTCACCATCTAGCTATCCATTTCAGCTGATTTCTTTATATGATGAAGACATCATTGACTTGAAGTGAAGACAGTCTTAAAACCTTTCTTCCTTACTTCACATTTTCTTACAACTCTGTGAGCTCTATGGGAATGTCACAAACACTGCTTCTAGTGGTAAAATGTGGCTGGAAGTATTGGTGATTAATCTTTATAGAACCCATGTTGTTCTGGCTAGTTCAGCCTGATTTGGTGATGCTTATATCTTTGACATAGGTATGTTTTCTTTTCTCAGTTAATGAGCCATTACTTTTTGTGGCATTCTAACAGTAGGTAATCAATGAGAGATTTAGGCTGAAACTGAAGTAAATAAAACGTATTACTTGTTCTGAGCTTCTAATAATTTGAAGTACCTGAATGACACTCAGCTAAGGTAATCGCTGTTACTACTATCATGAGTTGTTTTACAACAGTGTATGTCATGTGGGAAAAGGAATTTTATATCATAAATCACTTCTTTTGGTTTTTCAGTCTTTAAAAAAACAAACAAAACAAAACAACAGAAAAAAAGGCTTGCAGGCAAGGTCTTTCCAAACAGTGCAGTCTGTCCTTGAAATGATGCAGCTGTGGTATGCTCAGTGAAGAATCAAGGATGTTCTATAAAGATCAGGTAAGATATGAAGACGCTGCTTTCTTTGCTCTGGCCTGTCCATGCACATTTGTTAGAGAAACTGGAAAACTGTTTTGGCATTAAGAGTCCTTGAGCAGAGAGACTTTTTATAGAAAACACAAACTTTCAAAATATTCCTTAAGAATTGGAAGTTTAAAAAAAAAAAAAAACAAACCCAAACAAAAAAAACAACTGTATTTCTCCATCTACTGGAAAACTGTTGCTGTAGTGCGCCTACAGATTTTTCCATTACAGGCAGAAGAGCCAACCCCTGATTTTCTTTCTGACTACACAAAGATTCCTATGCAGGCATCAGCATTGGCTGTTGTCTGCTCTTGCGCCAACAGCATAAGTCATTATTCCAGATAATCATATTTTTCTAACCGGATCCAGACTGAAACTTCACTGCTAAGAAGCTAGTTTTCTATGATGAAATAATCACCTTAGATCTCTTGTTATGTTAAAGGTCAGGGTTTCATGTTTAAAGCTTTATTATTTTTTAACCCTTTCCTCTATGCCAAAAATCAATTTTAAACAGTATTTTGAAAGGGTTTTGTTTTGTTTGGGGTTTTTGTTTTGTTTTTTTTTTTCCTTTTCATGAAAGCATGCTGCCTCCAGGCTTTTTATATATGAAGATTTTAGCTTTATTAGCAAGTATTTCTTGTTCTATATGTAGAAATACTTCTGTATCCTTGATTTTATTTTGTAATACCAGTCATGTGTCATGATTTCACTTTCTGTCCGAGCATGACCATCTGGAGATGTGTGCCTTTTGCTTTGGTCTGTCTGAATGTAAAACTGTTTTTGCGAAGTATTTTTTGCCCAGTTTATTGTATATAATGGCTTAATTGCTCCACCTAAGAAAATATGCAAGGCCTTATCTGAAAGGATCATTTCTTACTCTCAACTGGAGTGGCTGATCAAGGAAAGAAGCAGTATTTTCAACAGCAATTAACCTAGGAGCAGAAGCAGTATAAACCAGTGGCTACTATTATTTTAGTATTTTTGCATCCATAGATGTGCGTGGTGAACTTTAATAAGCATCTAAAAGGAAGTGCCAGCTCAAAGTCTTTGCAAGAGCTCGTAATTCTTTTTGAGGATGTTATTTCCAGAGATTGTGTTAATTTACCCTGTCCTATTTATCTGGGCAGCTAAGGTTTAAAAAAATCAATCTGAATTGATTGTGCTTATTCTCCTGGAAGTTGTAAACACTTTCGCAGACTTACTGAATCCACTTTAGGGAGCACTGCTTGCACTTAGATATTCTTAGAAAGCAAAAGCACCACCTTTTTCCATAAATAGATTTCCAGATGTAGTATTTAATTTCTGTTATGTGGGTGTTTTTGAAGACGGTACCAGTGTGTTGCAAAACTGGGGCTTTAGTTAAAATACAATTTTAACTGGAAACTTCGCTTTGCACTGTTAGGATATCAGATTTTAAATATATTGCAGATGTTCACCTGTGCTATTCTAGGATGATGTAACATGACTAAACCATAGTTCAATAGCAGTTGAAGCAATATATGGAGATTTTAAAAGTTGTTTTGAAGAACCTGAACAAACACCATATTTAGGTATCCTGAAAGACAAGCCTTAGAGATGGAGCACTAGGGCGATCAAGAAGAATGAGGAAAGCGTGACAGAAAGCTTGCCCACTGGCTATGATGGTAGTCAGGATGCATATAGATGTGGCATTTGCACCATAACCAAGACATGGTTATAGAAAGAGGGGCCATAAAGCAAGAGTTACTTTCTTTAGCCAGAACCACAGTAGTGGCTATGAAGTGATTGCTTAAGCTAGACAAAACCAGATCAGACTAGCTTCATGGTACTTTCTGGAACAGGATGTTGGTATCATTTGAAGAGGGAAGCCCAGCAACTGCCTCTCCCCCCACCTCCCACCTGAATTTTATGCTATAGCTTGACTTAATGGGTCAGGCGCAAGCTGTTACGCAGGTCACAATGGGAACTACCAGACCTAACAGACTATTGCTCATATAGGACAGGAAGGATCTGAACCCTGGAGAAAAATTACCTGTCTTCATTCCTAATGTATGCAGTAAGTGCCTTAACAAGGCTGCTACTTCTTGAGTTTTTGCTTCTGTAATTAAACACCATGTCTGCAGGGATGTAGGGATAATATTAGACCTAGCAAAAGAAGTTGGGAGGGATCATGCAACATTAGTTTGGTTTATATGACACCTAGAGGTGGTAGCTGAGGCTTTAGGGTCATTTATATGTAGTGTACTCATACTTAGTGTGGGAGAGCAGCCCAGAGTATAGGTAGAAGGCAGAGAACATGATAATAATGTTCCAATTTTGTTTGACACAAGCCACAAGAACCAAATTCTGTGAAGGTCTTTATCACATTTATTGTATCAAAAGACAAAATATCATACAATAATGTGAAATTGCTGGTGCAACTGGACAAATATCCACTGTACAAGGATGTGGTTTCTATAGGCTCTTAACAGTCTCATCAGACTGCTGTGAGTTACATGCTTCTTAGTGTGATGAGTTGGCATCCTCTGAACTAGCTTCTAGCCATTTTTTCTCTCAATATTGTCTGAGATCCATACCATTCAGACTGCTAGTTTAGTTAAAATCAAAACAAAAGCCAGCTGGTGGTATTGACATGCAAGCTTTTGTGCATCATTTATAAAGGGCAAGGTTTTTATACATCTGTGCAACCTCTCCTACTTCAGACTAGTGTCAGATGACAAGGCTTGTTGGAAGGCTACTGGCATGGACAGCTATACTGTCATTCACTCCGGCCTTAGAGCCATGTTGTTTCCCTTCTGCTTTTCCAGCATGTGCATGCATCTACTCATTAAACCTTAGAAAGTAGTCTTGGGCACAAATTGTAGCCATGTCCACCCTAAGCATGACCCTTCCTACTTTCGCATCTTATGTTAAAGCTGCCTTTAAGCCTGCATTCTTGGTGTTGGCTGACCATCTCATGGATGAGAGAAAAGATAATCTTTGAATCTACAGCTATGTAAGATTGGTAGTGTTCTAATAGAGAGGAATACTGAAAAATCTTGCTATAGATGGAAGATATTTTTTCTGTGAAAGAAGAATTGTTACCAAGTTGAACACTTGCTATCAAGCTAAGCTCAACTGAAGGCCCATTCTGGACTCTTGTAACAGACAAGTTTCTGCAAGAAATGTTTTCTATCCCAACATGCTGGATTTGTTGGAGGAGGCGGGGCTCTTAACCCCTTCTGGCTAATGGTATTGTCATCACTTAAGCACTGTGCCTTAGTCTGACTAAATTATAGGAATGTCATTTACTTTGGTGCAAGCATTAGACTGTACAGGCAGTTAATTCGTAATGTACTTGTACCTCCTCACCAGCATGGGTAATGACGCATGGAATCACAGAATAGTTGAGGTTGGAAGGGACCACTGCAGATCATCTAGTCCAGTACCCACACCCACGCACCTCCAGTCAAAACAGCATCAGTGTCGGGTTGTTCAGTGCCATGTTGTTGCATTTTGAGTCTGTTCAAAATGGGGATGCAACATTTTGAGCTACTCATCATCTTTGTTCTGCATTTGCATTACAGCATGCATATAAACCAACACCACAGCTTTGAAGTGTGGCTAGGACTCAAGAGCCCCCGAGACACATGAGCTAAGTTAATTCTTTCACACTCACATAATATGCAGCTCTTAAGGCTGAGGCTTTGATGAGCCCTTCCCAAGGTCTATACAGTTTGGGCTTCAGGAATTATTGCAGACTAACAATCATTTTTGTCCGGCTCTTCTAGTGGCAATGCAGAACACATAAATTTTATAAATGTTTGAAAGTAACAAAACACTTCCTTCTAAGGAGAGATAAAGACCCACATGCAACTTGAAAGGGCTAGGTGCTATTCATAGTAGCAAGAGATCTGGACTGGGGTTGAATGGATGTATGGAGACCTTCAGTTTCCTGGTTTGCAAGGAACAAGTAGGGCCTGTTCTGATTACTGTCCTTTCCTGGTTTGGGGCTGGGGTGGGTTTCTGTTTGTTTGTTTGTTTTGCTTGGTTTGGTTTCTTGGAGTTTTGGGGGGGAGAGAGGTTGGGGGGGGTGGTTTTGTTTGGTGGGTTTTTTTGTTGTTTGTTTTTGCGATGCGTAACATACAGGATGCAAGCAGCACCCAGAATGAATAGCAGGTTTGCTGCCTGCCTTCATGTGACTGTTTCTATACATGTGCAAGCATTTGTAATTCATTGGTAGATTCAAATTTAAAATATGGGGTTTTTTTTGTTTTTTTGGTTTTTTTAGTACTAGGCTAATCAACTGAATGAATATTTAAACAGTTCTTCATAGGGCAGGGGACAGGTACCACCCACATGAAGTGTAACACTATTACATAACCAGTTACATATGGTCAAGGTTGCTGCTCCTGACATTTACTTTCTGCTGTTCTACGGATATTTGACCAAGCCACGAATTAAAGCTCATGCATGTTTTCCTAAAGGTGTGGATCTATAACTTGTGCTTGCAGATGCAGCTTTCCCAGAGCTGTTGGCTTAGTCTGCATTTGAGATCTAGGATCCTTTGGGTTTGGATTTGATTTTTAGAGAGAGAGAGAGATATATACACACACACACACATACGTGTGTTATGTATATACATATGTATATATATTTGTAATTTCTACAAGTCTTAAGGGATTAAAAGTCCTAAGCATATATAGGAATCTAAAGTAATGTGATCTTACAAGGGCGGAGAGGAAATCCCTTCTGCAAGTGATAAGGTATTTCAGAATAATTTTTGTTGCCTTCTGTGTATGAAAATGAGTACCATACTATTGTCATTATTAACAATCTGATGTCATGGTTCATATGCACAGTGCTTGCTAATTCTGTTAAGGTAACATTTTCTCAGATAGGCTTAGCCTGATTTTGTGGAATAAATTGCACCCTGAGAACCTAATATTAACAATATGGGAAAGCTCATATGACAGTATGCAGCAAACATCTGTACTTGCATGCAGGTTAGAAAGTATTTTTATACTTACTAGTTGAGTACAGCAACTTCACCAGCCTGTATACCAGCTAGCTGCTTCACTTTGTTGCTGACCTGCAACTGACTGACTCCTGTTTGCTACTGGAAATCATATTAGCACATGATTTGAAGAGAAAATTTAAGAGATTATTTTCTGCATCTTTATTTATAGCTCTATTAGTATTTATCTTGAATGGAAAATGTTATGTCTCTAAAGGTTTATGGAATGTCAGTTTTAACTAAATCTTTGAATGTTAGCAGGCTGCTTTGTAATTTAATAACTGCATACTTTTACGACTGTTGCTATGTTTGTGATCAAAAACTCTTTATCTACCACTTGTCTTAAATGCCGATGTATTACCATTGGTTTTAATGTCATGTGATAGTGTATAAGGTTTGTGTTTTAGATGTGACATCCAAATAGAAACAGTCCTATTGCAGCTGGAACTGGTTTAAGTGCCATTTATCACCTTTGTGAAGGAGTAACAGATGATTTATTCCTTCATATGTAATAAACCATAAATTTGACCTCACTTCTTTCTTTCACACATGCAGAACTAATGGCTTTTCCAAATTTGGTTCATCAGACAAGAAATTAAAAAGACAGGAGGTAGTACACTATTGCAGACAGCTCTGGATTACTGTTTCCATTTGCATTCGCTAGGAATTTTGTTTCAGAGATGTCATTCATTTAAGCACTCTATCATATCTGCGAGATTGGTGTTTGTGTCTTAAGCATTACCCATCTTTGACAAAAACTACAATCCAGCATTGGTTTATGTTTCCAGGCATCTTTTAGACTTTCAGAGACCTGCTCTAGTTGGACATCTTTACCCCTTAAATTAACACTACCAAAGATAGTTTTTTCCTTTTCTGGCTAAGAGTATATTCTCACTTGCCTCCCAAGACCTTGTAATGCCTTTTCAAAAGCAATGCTCTTTCCTGAATTCTAAAATGCATTTTCCTAAGAGCTACAACCCTTCTTTTGATTTAAATGCATTCCTTGCAAACTTAACAGCAATAGGAAAAATAATGCCAACTTAACATTAACACCCATAAAAGCCCAGCATTCATCTCCAGTTGGGACGAAGACTTATTCTGTGGTCAGGCATCCCAGAAATAGTAGCAGCAACACAAAGGTAAAGTACTGCAGTCTAAAATTAATGTTAGCCAGGCTACATCATTCATTTCTTCACTGTAATACATGCCATAAGGGAAAGGTAAAGTGGAGCAAGGAAATTTAATTTATTTACAAAATTAGAGCTTAATTTACATCTTAGAAAAAAGGTACTGGCCAATACATTTAACATTCTTACTTGGCCATTATAGTCATTCTGCACCAGGTGAAAAGAACACAGGAATCAACAAAAAATAATATGTTGAAAGAATATAAGAAAAGGGAGATTTACTACAGGGAATATGCAGAAGTGTATACAGATCCCCATAGATATTTTTTTAAAAAACAGAATTCAGATTTTACAAAATTCATTAAAACAATTTGATAGCAAGTTTAGTAACAGAATGTCTACCACATGACGCAGTTAGTTTCAACCATAGCACCATAATTTATGATATGAAGGTTTCATATCAACATAAAAAGCCTTAGACTTAAGATCTTCTGTAGTAGGCCTCAATTTGTTCCAGGGTCTGTCCTTTTGTTTCAGGAATGTAAAACGCTGTGAAAGTTACATTGAGGCAGCAGAAGGCAGAGAAGAGCCAGAACGTGCCATAGGATGTTAAGATGCCCTGAGAGGGGAAACAAACAAACAAACAAAAAATCACATTATTACAGCTCACTACTGTACACCTACAGTTCTGTATTGCCAGAGAAGACTGTGGTTCAAAGCTTTCTCAGGAGCATCTTTAATAAATTTCCCTATGAAAAGAAACTTCAGATTGTAATTTACAATGCTTACTATAAAATCGTTAAATTCTTTGGTTACCAAGAAGGCCATAACCCAGTTTGTTAACACACAAACACCACTCGATATGCCTCTAGCTTTAAGTGGGAAGATTTCAGATATCACCAGCCATGGAACAGGACCCCAGCCAAGGGCAAAACCTGCAATTACAAACAGAAGAGAATAAATGCAAGTTAAGTACATATTAAAGGGAAGACTGAATGATGCCCAAGTTAGTCAAGTAAGGGGATGCATTTTTCACTCTAGATTCTTGGATGATTCCAGTAAAACAGTACCTCTACCAGAAGGAAAGAGAATAAGTTATTTCAGAGCAGCATGATAAATGCTAGCACGTTTTACATCAAATTAATTACAAGAATATTCTTAACAAGCAGAACATCTTGCCACAAAGTCTCTGAAGTGGTAAGCTTAAAAACTGACCTTGTTTATAACTGCTGCTGCCTTGTACTATCACAGAATTCAGTGTGGCTCAGACACTAACAAAGACCATTTTTGCCATTAGCAATTGTAAAGCAGTTTAACCTGAGCAATTGCTACTTACTATTAGCACAAGGAGGTATAAATTCATTTTCCAGGGCATTGGCTTAACTAAGCTGCTAGCTCTATCACCAGGGTTGTGAACACTCAGCCCAACTTTGCATTATACACTGAAAAGGTCTGTCAAAGACATAACTCGTTTCCATTCATCAATAATGTGACAAAATGGAACAAAATTGTCACATTTATCAGAAAGTTTGAGTTTTGTGTAATGGCTACTTAGAAGCCTGTTCCACTTACCAGCAACAAAGAGCCCTAGGCTCACTACTGCAAGCCAGGATATGCTGCTTTCTGTTCCTGGGGATGCTGAATTTAGAGTGAACCATACATCAGGATTTGATGAGTTGTTTCGACTGGGAAGGACCATTTTAAAATAAAGCCCAAACAATGCAGTACTGAGAGCCATGATTATCCCTGAAAAGTAAGCAATAACCAAGTTGTCACTGGTTGCCACTTGGGTATTCTGAGAGACAGAACATAGTTGGTCAGCCAAATAGAAGATATGCTGGCCTTTTTCTTAAAATATACTGTTCTTGGAAATAAACACTGGCCGTGAAAGATGCTAGACAAGCATTCTAAACTAGCCAAACAATGTAGTCTCGACAGCAGTCATTACTATTGGGTGTGCAGCACAACAACTATATCAAACAGAATTAGTTTTCTTCAGCACCTTTACTTGTAAAGTTAAAAATTTTAACTATTGTCTTGTATAACTAAACACCACAATGCACCATGAAAGTAGCAGCAGCCAGGGAGAAATTACTTTGAAATAGCCATTTGTTGACAACTTGGGTATGACAATGTATCATGACATTGAATCTTATTAAGCAGAAAAATTATCACAGTAGTAAGAACTGTCTCAGTGACATAGCTATTTCAGAATAAAACTTGACCTGGTAAGAAGACAAAAAGATAGCCATATGTAGTTTCAAGGGGTTCCACCTACAATGTGTATGTAACATGACAGTTTCTTCTTATGAGTTTAAGTCTATAGTTATACCAAATTATAAATATAAAGCAAACCACTTAAAATGCATAAATTGCAATATGTAATTCCCCCAACAGTTAAGACACTTTTTGGTACTATATATAGTAATTTTCCTTACTGAACAAAATTCAGTAACGTGTTTTACCAGATATGTAAAGCAGCACTTTTCGTCCAGTTTTATCTATGATAAGTGCAGCCACAGCAGTGAAACATACTTGTATGGAACCCACAACAACAGAAGCCATTCTGCTGTCCTGAAATAAAGTTAGAGGTATGGAGAATTGGCTCTTTCAGGCTGATAAGAGGATCACTTATCAAGCATTAAAAATGCATTTGTTTCTTGAATCTGAAAGAAGACAAACTATGCCACAGAAATTGATGGTGGGGGGGAGACAACAGAGGAGGGGAAAAAAAAAGAAAAAAAAAAAGATCACCAATTAACACAACATACTGGTCTCTTAATAAACTTTAAAATAAGCCACAACTTCTTCCTAGAGTTTCACTTGCTCTGAAACATTGCATTTGCAACTCTACTAACAAAAAATTATATAGGAAGATGACTATAATAGGAATTTCTATCAGTATCCCCCCTCAAACCAGAACATGCAGGTATGCCAGAGTAACACAGTCAAGAGGGTATCTAGAATCCAAACCAAAAAAGCCCACTAAAACCCAAGCCCTGTTATTTATGACACAGGCAGGATCATTATCAAGTCAGTTTGTTACGTGTTTTAGACTTCTTGTAGCACTGACTAAGCTGAAACTATTATAGACATCGGTCAGTTTGGAAACACACCCGGATTACCTTGAAGTCTGCATTTTCAAAGATAGTTTCTGCATAAAACATAACTGCATTAATGCCTGTTACTTGCTGGAAGAACATTAGAGCCACACCAATAAGAAGTGGCCTGTAGATTGAGGGGTTCTTAAATTCAGAGAGATTCAGTCCCTGTTAAAAAGATTAAGCAATGATTTGGTGAAAAATTTCATCTTCTAAATCCAAGAACAAAAACAACAACAAAAAACCTCCCTCCTCAGAAAATCTCAATCTGTTCAAACTCGGGAAGTTTCCCACCCCTCTTTTAGCAAAGTGCCTTAGCAGTAAAAATGTTTACATTTGAAGTATCTGAGAACTCCAGAAAAGCATTTTTCCCCTTTTCTCATGTTCTAGAGACAGAAATTAACAGTACTTTGTAGAGAAAGTTAACATGAATGAATGCCCAGTTTGCAGAAATGGAACTTCAATGATTAGACCTGCTTATTTAAGCACACATCTCACAAGAGGCTAAATGATGCTATTAGAGATGCAAGAGAAAATGCATTCATACAACACAAACAATAGGAAATTAGTGTTAGAGGTGTTGAACAATCCTTCAAGATTGCTAAATAAAGCAAAAAGCCAGACAGCTGTCATAATTAACAAGATCACGAGCGCAACTGCTACTCATGTACACTGATGGCAGCCAACAGTGATAGCAGTTGCAGCTGAAAGGTAGAGGAAAAAGATTCAAAGAATCTCACTTGCTTCTTGAGTATCATTTGTATGAGGGAACAGGTTTGGACCACCGTTTGTAGAACAGGCTATTAACTAAGCTTTGGTAAAACCCTTTTAATTACACTGTATGCTTTCAGATGTTATCTCCATACAAAAAGTTTTTTTAAGAGTAAATCAGATTCTCATCACCTCTTCCTGAACACTAGCTTCCATCTGCCTACATTCCCATTCATGGTCCGCATGTGGTCCCCGCAGAAAGCGCAAAGAAGCTATGGCTTCTGAGCGCTTGTTCCGATTCAGCAGAAATCTCGGTGTTTCAGGCATGAAGGACATGAACAATAGCATTATGCAGGATGGAAAAGCGCACAACACTGCCAGCCAGTGCCATTTTAGTGTTATTCCTGGGTAACAGAAAGGAAAGAAAGAGGACTATGAACATCAATTAGTTGTACAAACAAATTAACATTTACTTTCAATTCTTCAGTGTAGTTCTTTCATTACACGTACTAATTCTTTTTTGTAACCTAGAGCCCTAACCCCAATACCTGCAACGTAGGCTCCCAGTATGCCAGTCACCACCATCAACTGAACACAAGAGCCAAGCATACCACGGACTTTAGGATGAGATACTTCAGATATGTACATCTAAAACACGGGGAGAAAACATCTAATAATTAATTCTATCCAATTTTGGATCAAGGACTTCATAAGTAAGTAATTTCTGAAAAAACACAGATGTATTTCCTAGTAACTCCTCTCCTTAAAAAAAGCCTTAATAAAATGGAGTGAGTAGAAGAGTACCATCTCAGAAATGTATATTGGCATTATGAAAAACGCTGGAAAAAAGGGAGGACCTGAGCCAGAAGAATGTTGATGTAGTATCAGTATCCCAAAGGTGAATAAACTTGCATTAGTAAGAGCTGCTTTTGTTAGCCATATTCAACAAGAAACACATCATCACAAAGCAGTCTAGAGCTTGGAACAGTCTTTGCATAAACATGTAGCCCAAGCCACATATAAAACTGTTCGCAATCAAAGTTTTAAATTTTTAATTCAACACAAAGAGTGCAAATTATTTCATTCTCCATGAAGTTCAAAATTGACAGCTCATCTTAACACAGACTATATGAACAGCATCACACCTCATCCAATATTCGGGATCAACTTAAACTTTTCAGCTATTTTTTAATATATTGATCCCAAGTCAACAGCTACAGTTTAGCTGTACACATAAAAAAGAAATCCCTCATATTTATATATACAATTCTTTCTAAAGTCACAATTCTTACTTTTTCTGGAAGGAAAATAAGTAATCCTTATTTCAAGAATAATTTAGAGCTACAAAAACTTGGTATTACATATGACGCTCTCCTCCCTCATCACTGCAGTCACACAGATCTTTTACTGTTGGCTGTGGGTTAAAGCCTTCACATACGGGAACTCAGAGCTCAGCTCCGTGAAACAAAGAGAAAGCAGTCATTTGTAAAGCAGACAGAATTCCTCCAAAGACATTAACACAACCAAGCTTCCAAGAACAGAGAAAATTGCACAATATTATCATTTAGACCATACCACCCTGAATCTTTTTTAGATTTTATTTTTATGACCATCCAGATTGATAAAGAACGAGCATATATTCCATACTTCATTACGAGTACTTCTTATCCTTTCATTTTTAGTTTGCATCTCACTTCAAAAGCTAGAAATGCTGGAACTACCAGAAAAGAAAAACTTGAATTCTAGATGGTTTATTTCACACTACTACCTAGTCAGCCAGATCCAAAAGGTCAAATAATACCAGAGAAGACAGACAACAAGAGAATGAATTATCTCCATTTCCCTACTGCACGTATATTCCTGAATGCATGGGAAAAGTTAATATTCAGAAGGTAACAGTTAAATGGAATCAGAAGACACTATTTGGCATTACTCCAGGATGAGTGAGCAGCCATAGTTTATTTGCAAAACCAAGAAGTTTGGTGAAATAGAAAACTATTAGAAGCAGCTGGTAGTAGGGAAAAAAACCACCACAAAAACCAAACCTCCCCCTAATGTTATATATGAGGAATTTGAAGAGGTAAATATTACTGTAATGTAGCAGAACATAGACAGAAGCAATCAAATAAAGGACTAATAATCTGAAAGATCACATCACTGTATCAGGAATGCATAGTACAGAAGTGCTACTACAAAAAACAAAATGTATTTTATTTATATTTTCTTCATGATTAAAAACAAGCAAAACACGATTCTGTAAAAATCAGTTTCTTCTAAATCCACAAACTGCCTTGGCTACAGTTATTCAGTTACTTCATCCAAGCCACCTGCTGCTATGGAAAAAGAAACAAAAAACCCACGAACAAACAAAAAAGCAACCACACATGCACACATGTCCAGAAAAATGTCTTACTTACCGGAACAACAAGTGAAGTAATTCCACTGGCCAAGCCTGTCAGCATTCGTCCAAAATAAAGCATCCAAACATTCTGAGCAGATATAATAACTATATATCCAAAAACATATGGTATCGAGCACAGCATTAGACTCAGCTTTCTCCCAACTTTATCCACAAGATAGCCTCCTAGTATTCCTCCGGCAGCAGCTCCTAATGTTACTTCTAACTTCAAAACACAAGTAAAAAAAAATTATATATATAAATAAATATAAAAATAAATAACAGACAGCAATTTCTTTTAAAATCCTGAAAAAAGTAAATGGCAGCTTCTAAAAAAATGTGCAAGACTACACAGGTGTTTTGAAAATCAAGATAAATTTTAACTTCTTAATCAAAACATAGTCAAGAAGCACTACTCACCACAACTGAACAGCAAGTAATTTTCATATTTCCTTCAATGAAGGGAAAAAAAAAAAAAAGCAGCAGTAACTGTTTCTTAATCTGTCTACAGAGCTGTCCGTTCATAAACAGGCCTTTCAAACTGCTTTAAAGCCCTGAAGAATTTGTTGTTATCTTGACTAACCTGAAGTCCAGCCTGCATCCAAAAAGCAAATATTCCCCATGTTGATGGGTTGCACTAATTTATTAAGAAGTTTATTTTCTGTAGTCCCTTAACAGGGTCAATTGAGAAACGTGAGAATGGTTAGAAGACATTTTAGCACCAAAAATAAGTTCAAATAATAGGGGCATTTATTAATATATACTAACGGAGTTATCAGAGCATAACAGCACCATTACTCAGGAAAAATTTGAATCAATCAGTGAGTTTAGGAAAAAAATTGATTTCATTATTAAGATCTGCATTTACCCTCATTCTTAAGAGGAGTAAGACCCCATCGTACAAGCAACATCCTCTTGACCTATGCTTTCAAGTGAAATCACATAATGGTAATGCATCATACGGAGACTCACCCCAAACCACGAGGCTTGATTGCTGTCCAATCTTAATTTAGGATCGTTGATTTTCCTCAACTCTGGAATAACAGGTGAGCTATAGCCTAGCACGAAGCCAAAGCTGAGCGGTCCCAGGACAGCAGCGAACGTGGCCAGGTACAGCTTCTTGTTCTGCACTCTGAGGCAGAAGAGGCCAACAAGGATCATGCCGCCCCCACCTCCCGCTTCCGGCCCCTTACTAGGCCCGGTAATGCTCGGGCGGGCCTGGCAGAGGGCTCGACCCAGAGCTCATCTCGGCCGCCCCCCGGAATCGGCCGCGGCCGAGCTCCAGAGCAGTCGGCGCTGTCCCCGAGCCCGCCAGAGCGGCCGGTCGTGGCGCCCGCGCTCACCTCGGGCAAGAGTCCGAAGCGGGGTAACCCAGCAGGCAGCGAGACTCCTCTGCAGCCATGCCCCGCCTGCGGGGAGCGCCTCAGCGCGGCCAGCCCCGGCTACTTCTCCACGGGCAGCCGCTAACGAGCCGCGCGCCCGGCCGCAGCTCCCGTCCGGGCAGTGCGG